TCACAGTCAAAGATGAGTGCGGAACCGTAAAACTAAGCTAATACATGCCTTTTAGTTTTGATTTCGATATCGTTCTACATTTGCTATTCGCCTTGGTTTTGTATTTTTTGTTAAAAGTAGAAAGAAAAGTTACTTGAAGCTTTTACTCCTTTTGAAAGAATACTAAAGTTGATTAAACCAAAAAAATTAATTTTACACCGTACCCAAACGACTCCTCTATTTTAACTTAGTGTTTTTTACAAATATTTTTCAAGTAGGACTTCTATCAAATGTTAACGCACCTGAAGATGACCACTTTAGCTGTTTTATATCACCTTCAGAGTATACAAATTAACGGGATAATTTTTCTGTGAATTACAGTTGATAAAAACTGTTCTGGTTACTTTCGAAAAATATCATCACCAAATTATAATGAAACAGATCATTTTAAAGACGCCGTGCCATCTCAGCATGTCAGGGGCGTAGCCAGGATTTTTCAAAGGGGGGGTCACAGAGGCTACTCACCACTTACACCGCTGCTCTCCGGCGTGTATCGGCGGGCTCAGTCGTATTCTCGCGGCATGAAGGCCCATATTAACTAAATACAAGAGTCGTTGACGAAAATACTTTACAAAAAAACACCGATTTTAAAAAAGTGGGCTTTCCAACCATGGCTTTTACGGCCAAGTCTTGTAATGGCGTTTTCGCCACCTGAATATTGTAGGTTGTTTTCTCTAAAGAAGGCCTGCCAAGGGGGGGTCACGGTCACCCCAGGAACCCCCCTGGCTACGCCCTTGCATGTTTATCACTTTCTTTGTTGTTTACTTGCTGTTTCATTAAAATACAAAGAAAAATTGCAATAGACCTAAAGTAATCCTGGCTAATAAGAGGCGGAGTAGGCATGAGCTCATTTGAGTTAGAAACAACTTTCATCTCAATAGTAATGTCTTTTCACATAGGTTAGGGTCGCCATCAGTCCGGTGGCGCTTCATCTACTGTTCTTCCGATACAACCATCTGTGCCGCTGATCTACAGGCAACAGGATGATTGTAAAGAATAATGAAAAGAGGGTGAGCTTTGAGCTCGGCAAAGAAATCATGATAGAAAAATGTTTTTTCGTCTGGTCACAAGCGTGGGACAAAAAAAAATTCTGAGTCCCCATAAGGGATCGAAACTCAGACTTTCGGATCCCGCGCTCTGATGCCGCCCTCTGATGCTCTACGACTAAGCCACGGAGACTCTATGGTGAGCAAGGCGCATTACGAAGTTCATATTTGACACGCGTCCTGCATACTGTTTGGATGGGCAACGTTTGAGGTTTGATTCCTCATAGGGACTCAAAATTTTTTCTTTGTCTCACGCTCGTAACTAGTCGAATAATAATAATAATAATAATAGCTAATCTTTATTGAGGATGCCAACATCACAAAAAAGTGGTTTACAGAGGGGTCCTCTAAAAGTAACTAAATATAATATAATTACCTAAAAATAAAAATAAAAAGAATACAAATCGAAAAATATGAAGATAAAACTACATTATTTGAAAATCAACATGCGAAAAACGAAACTAATTAAAATAGTGCTTTCTTGATACCACGCTTAAATTGGCTTAAGGTGGGCACATCTCTTAGGGAAAGGGGTAAGGCATTCCAAACGTCCGCTGCAAAATTTATTGTTATCCAGTGCCCCCATCTTCTGTGTGCGAATGATTTGCGGATATTTCGCTTTGATCGTGTAGTATAGTTATGATAGTTACTGTTAAAACAGCAGTGAAAAGTGTGCATAAAAAGCTTATTAACTACCTTAAACATAAAAATAGCACGATGCTCGGCTCTCCGCCTTTCTAGAGGTTTCCAATGGAGCTTTGAAAGTGCATCGCTCGCGGAGGCAGTAGGGGGAAGATCTAAAATGATTCGCGCAGCCTTATTGTGAAGGATCTGTAGCTCCGTCATAAGTATAGTGTTGCCCCGGTCTCCCCAAATAATATCGCCGTAGTCAAAAAGGGGCAGAACAAAAGAATTAAAGAAAGTTATCCTAGCGCTTAGTGGGAGACACGACTTGATGCGCCGCAAAAGGCCTAGCTTCTTGTTTATCTTATTACGCATGTGTTCAAAATGATCCTCCCAAGTAAGATTCTGATTGATAATTAATCCTAAGTAGGGAATGCATTCTGCTTCCTTAAGTTGCTTACCATCGGCTGAAATAACAATCGAAAAAATGTCTTTCTTAATTATATAGATACTGATGAAATACCAGGATCTCTCTTATTACTAAAAAATCATATCTTCCTCGCACGCAGTGAAGATGCTATTTTTATCTTTCACGTGTGAGGATATAGGTGTCGCCAAAGTTACTAACATGATTATGCTATTTTTTCCGTAGAATTTTGACTTTTTGGAACAGAAGTATAAAAATAATTTGGATATATCAACAAAGTTGAAATGGTAAATTGGCCACCGTAACGATTACAAAAGCTGACGTTTCGAGCGTTAGCCCTTCGTCGGAGCGAATAGACGAATTGTGGGTTGTGTGTGCTTTTAAAGGCAGAAAATGAAGCTACGTTATTGGTGGGAACATGGCAACGAGGCACTTTTAAATGCGCTCGTGCACGTTGCTAAACGTGTCCTTTCATTCACAACACTGATAAAATATCGGGACCCGAACGTTCCATTAAGATCACCGATCGCTTCACGTGCACCTCCGCCAATGTAATCTATTGCATAACTTGCACTTATTGCAAAAAGATATACATCGGCGAAACAGGTAGAAGACTAGGTGACCGATTCCGAGAACACCTTTGCGATGTGGAAAGGAATGACAAAGACACATCGAAACCAATCGCTAGACATTTTAATTTATCTANTTTTTCTCGTTGCCATGTTCCCACCAATAACGTAGCTCCATTTTCTGCCTTTAAAAGCACACACAACCCACAATTCCTCTATTCGCTCCGACGAAGGGCTAACGCTCGAAACGTCAGCTTTTGTAATCGTTACGGTGGCCAATTTACCATTTCAACTTTGTTGATATATCCAAATTATTTTGTTACTCCCACCGACGCAGCCCCAAACAGTTTCTTTAGAAACTATCAGCCTTTATTCAGAAATATAAAAATATAAGTATTACTGTCTTTATTTCTCTTTTTTAACTTTATATCCGAGTTTCATAAAATTTTTGCGACAGGCATTTTGCAATAGGTGACCACTTTAATTGTACTATTTTGATGTTTCGAAAATTAATTAAAAAAATTAAAGTTGTGTTTTATGTGGAAATTTCATCAGTATCTGTAAAATAAAGAGAACATTATATGGCCGTTTAGTGAATACGAATTTTATCTTCTCGTGCTGAAAGTGTCTCTCATTCGAAGATTAAATTCGTATCCCCAAGCAGCCATGTAGTATCCTCTATATATTTTTTTTTACCGAGCTCAAAACTTACCATCTTTCTTATTCTTTACAAAACATGACGCTATCGACATTGCCCACCCAAGAAATTTTCTCTTTGTCCCACGCTCGTGGCTAGAGGAAAAAACATCTCTCTATAGTATGACTGTAGTTAGCAAGGACTAATCCACGATGATGTTTTCTGACTTCGATCAGGGGGGAGTAGATGCCTGTCAGGTTAATAGTGGAGAACCCTTAGTTTGTGTTTTTGGAGGAAAACGATACTCCCTAGGCCATTTCACTATACTCTTACAGTGCATTTCTCCTGCCCAGGGTTGTGAATAGCTACTATTGTTCTAAGCTACAGTAAGTTTCTGTCGATAAAGACCGGCTGATGGTCAGTTTCTTCCTTTTCTTTCCTTTCAAAAATACCAAAATTACAATTGCGGTTTCATTCAGTGCAGTTTCCTCAGCTGTTAACATCCTGTTTGTGCAAAGATTTAAGGAGCTGTTGTAGCTACAGATTGACGCAGCTTTCTCAAAAACAGCTGCATTTACGAGATGGTTCTCGTTATAGGAGACATTACTGACAGTGACAACAACTTGCGATTTCTTTCACACACATCTGCCAAGCTGTTCAGCCGAGATAAATTTGAAAAATTCAAATACTTTAAAACTTGTATAACCAACTTTTTCCTTTACCAAAAAAGCCTTGTTTCCTGCTATGAATAAATGCAAACAAGCCTTTATTGCTAAAAGCGACTGTTTTAAAGGGTCTCAAATTTAGCAGCAAATATTACCTCAGTTGTCCGCCATTCATCCATAGGCTTAAATGTTTACGTCCTACTCAAATTTTCCTAGTGAGTGTTTTCGCGGAACCCAGTACATCATGAAGTTCGTCGTTGTCCTCGCGCTTTTGGTGGCTGAGATAAATGGTAAGAAGTGAGTTCCTAAATTAATTGAGTAAATGAAATTTATGTCACAGAGTTAAAAGAAACATGCATCAGTTTTAGGTAGAGAACGGATAAGAAACGTTCCAGGTGTGTCCTAACTTTGTTGTTTGAGACTTGTTCGATCTCGAGCGAATTATTTACTTACTTAATGTTGGAGACGAAAAAAAGGTTTCAAAATTGAGCCCGAATTTACTTCCTATTAGTTTGTATATTTTGAAGTTAAACCAGGAGCTCGTTAGTAACGGGCTCCTGGCGAAAAGTATTCATATTCACGGTTGAAGTTCCTTTATATGGATGGAAAGGTTTATCGCACGTGACAAATTCAGTAAGCTGTACAGAAATTATAAATCGCGCTACGTGAATCAAATCTTCTACATTTTATGTTATTGATTTACCTGTAAACATGTTCACTACTGAGGCCATAATTATGATCATGAAGAATTTAACGCAGGCTTTTGAATCAACTGAAATATGCTGTAGACTTTACGGAAAGCGTTGATGCTAATTTAAAGTTTACGTATTTCGAAATAATAATAATAATAATAATAATAATAATAATAATAATAAACTTTATTTACCTTGCAAAAAATGTGTCAGCAATTCCATAAGGAATCGCTGGTATTAATGTGCAGCATGTATATGTCAAATGATGACTGACTGCATGTAACTTCTGAATAACATATCATTGATAGCTCTGTGTTACGACCACTGGCCAAACTGCAAAGACTACATAAACAGACCAGGCAATCCGTGTGAAACAAATAGCTTCGTAAAATACAAATGTAAGAAGAGTTGTGGTTCATGCGGAGGTAAGAAGAAATATCAGCTTTTAATTATTCTCCTTTGACATCCCTACTCAGGATAATGGCATCTAACTCTATCTCTCTCTCTCTTTCCTTACGCATTTCGTTAAAAAAAGTTCATTAGAGCGAGGAATAGTAGTAGGAGTAGTAGTAGATAAGTTTATTTCTCACATTTTCACAGAAAATCTGAATTACAATGTTGTTACAGTTATTTAACAAATATATAAAATTACATGCGTGGATAGGGACTGGGCTACAATGGGTTTAGAAAGTATTCGGTTCTGCTTATTAAATGGGACTCAGCATGGCATCTTCCTTGATCTCGTCTTATGCGTATTAGTGTGTCCGTAACCTTAAAGCCTTTTTCATTACACCTGTCGTTTGCCAAACTTTTTCTTTGATTGTTAGGTCCCAGGCCTCCCGTGACACAAAAACCACCTGCGCCTCCAAAGCCATCAAGACCACCAGTACCTCCTCCTCCCCCAGGTGAGAGTAGTTCATATCAACTCTTTAGAAGCTTATCTGTGCTGGCCTTGCTTGAAAAACACCCGAATATTGGCAGAATTACGAGCGACTACAATAAATGATGGTTTAGGAAACTAACAAGAGAACGTTAATATATTAACAGGTCCTTACACGGAGGAGAGACATATGCGACCTGATTGGTTGATTATGTTGATTCCGACCTCAACTCCGCCATAGCCAAGACCATAACAAAACAAACGTTGTTGAAAATGACCGCAATGGACATAAGTCGATTTCCAATGAACGAGATCATGAAACATTCAGGTTTTTTGATAATCACCCAGGTCCAGTTGTTCAAAGAGTGGATAACGATATCCAACGGATAAACCGCTATCCAGCGTATGAGTGTTAACAAAATGCACTAGGCTCTCCA